TGGCCCGAAAATTTGTGAGCGAGCGAATCGGAACTCGAGGATTGTGGACCCGAGCGAACAGAGCGAACGAAGCGAACGGAGCGAACGGAGCGCAGCGGAGTGAGCGGAGTTCGCGGAGTGAGCGGAAGTGAGTGAGTGAGCGTAGCGAGAGAGTCCACAATCTTCGAGTTCCGATTGCGAGCAAAACAGGATTTCCTAGAGTTTCTTCTTGAACTCCGGAAGTTTTCTCATGGTTTCCCAAAGGAAACCATGGATTCTGCCAGGTTTCCGAAGGGACCAGGCTTTTCCGCTGCCGTTTGTGCGCGTGGCCTCCCCGGTAATGGTTAAAAAGCGGCATTGTGCATTGCCAGAAGGCGGGTGAAAGTAGAAGAAAGAAACTAACCGCTCATTTACTCCCTCTCTCAGTACCCAACGTCTCCGTAATAGTTCCAAAAAAGTGAGTGTTGCCTGCTGCATCCATCTTTGGTGTTGCCTCATGGAGATTATCATCTGTTGCACTCCACAGTAGCGTAGGGGCAAGGAGCGTGAGCATGCTGGGCATCTCAGGAGAATGTGACTTCCTCAAGTCTTCCATCCATTTGTCGCAGTTGTGTGGTGTGGGCAACATCTCGGAGGTTCGCTTCTCATCCGGTAGGACGAATCACATTGGTGGTCCATCGAGACGGCATAATTCGGCCAGGAGAGCTCATTGGTAGCCTCCCCCCCCCGCCCCCCCCAAAAGGAAGGAGTTTGGGGGGGAGGTGATGTGGGGCGATAGTGCACGCTTCCTGGTCCAGGTGCCAGTTCAAGGCTTGGATAGACGCCTCTGTCATACGATCTTCTGCCCAGGGCTGTGTTCTCGGCGCTTCAAGCAGGCGTCGCAGTCTTTCCCTTTCCCGAGCTGCATATTGCTCATCATTGCGCGATCGCTCATGTACGTCGAGGTAGCAGTCTCGAAGACTCTGCATTTCCCAAGCATGCTCATGGACCCAGCCGTGCATGTTCCTGGAGTTTACAGGGTGCCCGTGTCTCCACTGATATGAGGAGTCCATGAGTTTCCTAACGTCACTGGCCATACGGTCCTCCCAGGCACAATGAGTCACCCTCGCATCAAGAGCCTCACGCGGGTCGCCGAGGTTCGGAACGCCGATGATATCCTTCCCCACCACATCGTTGAGTCGTGCAATGCGTAGGCCCGGTTTGTATCCCTGGTGTACGGTACGCGAGCAGGTCCTTTGTCGCTGCTGCTTTGTAGTCCTTGAACTGCCAATGCCCCAGTGCACTTTTGAGATGCGAAGATAAGATGAAAGTGGTCGGGCGCTGCAGCAAGCTGCTGCGGATCTCACCAATGAAGCGGCGCACGCCTTGCTTGGTATCTTATATGACTGCGTACGAAGTACAAAGATAATCTGAACGTAAATCTAGAATTTCGCAGAATTCCCGTACACATAGCACAAAGACGAAGGCACTTCGCCGAGAGTCAGGTCGAATCCCACTACAAATTCTGGGTGAAACGCATCTAGCCGGACAGATGCATCCCATTCAGTAAAGCGCCAGAGATGAAAGAAGAATTCGCGTTACGCATCACCACACAACATGGAGCACACAACATGGAGCACAGCCCACAAGGCAAGGTCGAAATTGCTCCACGCAAGCCCGTCAGCTGTCTGAGCACCGAAAAGCAACATGCGGAAATTGCAGCGAATCACCCTGCAACAACCAAACCCCAACACCAGGGACCTACATGGGACCCACGCGGGGTTCGTGGGAAAAACTGCTTTGCACCGATGCATGCCGATATGCCAGAGGAAACACGTTCACGGACCGGACTGCGGGAGTAGGATCAGACACCCTGGCTGAAATCATTGTTCGCGCCCCCTCGGGCATGGATGCTCTGGGAGCAAGGTGCACTGGTACCATGGAAGTCAATATAACAAAGTAGACTTTTAATAGAAAAAGAATCGGATCGAATCGTTCGGGCATGGTTTGGGGTAACACATTCAACACATTCGCAGCTCTAGAATCGGGATGGAATTGACCTGAATGTGGCAGTCCTTGCGTGATGTCTTGTATGGAAGAGGAAACGCAACTTGCATGCAGAACGCCGAGAAACAATTGGGAATGTCAAAAAATGCGAACTGTCGCTAGCACAGGCCACTTCAACAACCCTCCGACTCCGAACCCTAACTGGGGAACATGGTCGCTGGGCGTCATGCTCTACCTTCTGACCTACTCCAGCTATCCTTCTTGACAGATGCCACTGGCCAAGCGATTTCATCTCTTCCACAGGTCCTGCACCCGAAGGTATGCATCACACCCCGCGTCCACATTTGAGCGAGTGCGCCGCTTGCGCGGAGCTGGCGCAGGCTAGCACATCTTTGTCGATCTATTCTGCACGTTCGTTTCCAACAACATGATCCATTCGGCGCGTCCGCGCGTGTCTCTGCGGGCTTGTGAAAAGGCGACATGGTCGATTTGCAGGCGTGCTGTACGGTTTTTGCAACCAGTAATCTGGGGGGCGCTGCACGCTTTGAGGGCTTGGTCTTTGCACACTGTTTCGGGCTTCCTCTGTTCTAGGAGACATCGGCTGCCGCTTTCCTTCTGACTTTGGTTCAAGCAGGCTGGAGAGACACAACCTGGAACTTGGTTTGGGCACGTTTAGGCTTAGGGCTGAAGTGATATGTGAGAATGAGTTCAAAGGCATGTCAAGACGCAAACCCCGACTTGTTTCAGTGCAGAAGTGTTTGCTATCAGTCTTACATAACCAGGAACTGTTCCTGGCGCGATGCGGCAAATTGTGAGGAGCATCATTGTGGCCCTGCATTTTGCTTCCACCAGCTTGTTCGCCAATGCACACAACGATTCGATCGTCCGCCCAGTCAGTATTAGTGTGAATACCACTTGGGGTGCAGGCCTTCATCGCATTTCAGAGGCTTGATTCCTGTTGGGATTCTGCAGTGTAGTGTTGTGACTGTGTTGCGAATTCTTTGCATGGCATCAAGGGGAATGACCTCAGAACGGATCTGTCGCCCAGGAGAGGGTGACCGTTCTGCCAGGGGTGAAGTTGACCATTGATGGCACCAATGGAACAAATCTTACGGACGGGACGGTCGCGAGAGCAGACGGGGCCTTAGTCATCAGTTTTTCCTGCTCGCACATGGTATGTTGAGTTTAGACTGCCGCCTTCAACCTCCTGTGACCTATATTTCACAGTCATCCTGTAGCTCATTTCAGTTTGAGGCTTTTTTTGGCAATGCTGACAGTTACCTGTGACGTGAGTTGGCAACCTGTTACCTACAAACAGTTAACAGTTAAACGGGTAGCCGACCTGGTTCTGGCCTCGGGTGGCATCGTGGATCTTGACCTGTGGAAAAGCGTGTTCTAAAGGGGCGGCCTGATTCTACTGCTGGAGTGGTGTCCTCAATCTTCTTGGCTGGAAAAGCTGATGCTGAGAATCATCTCGGGGGGGGGGGGGAGGCCCAGCAGAAGAGGAAAGGACAAGAAGTTCTGCAAGCCCCTGCGGATAGAATGAAACATGCTAGAAGTTTGGATTACCGCGTGGCTATGAAGCATGTAGGTCGTGGATTCCGAACGAAGTTGACGAGAAGTAACGCAAACACGATGAGCGGCATTTATGTGTGAATGTCGTGCGAGAAGCGAGGCAAAGACTCAATGTCCAAGACACAAATGCCCACTTGCAGGCAGTTACACACTGTGCTACCGCACGTCTTGCCAAGGCTCAAAAGCACTCAAGCTGGATAAACTTTCAACAATGCTTCTAAACTCATAATAGCGATGAAAGAACCATTTCCAGGCAAAGACCACATCCCTTTTTTACATTCATTGCGGCTTCGAAAAATCTTGCATGAGGTGCTGACCTTCCTACACCCGAATGCGTCCATCCAGCTGGATCGGGGCGCCAGTCTGGTGGTGCGTCGCGCCATGTTCGTGAGCCCATTCCTTGGCTGGTACGGCTGGGATGCGGCGCAGGCCGACAAGCCCCCCGAAATCACAGGTGTTAGCTTCGTGGATCTGGGCAGCAGCAGAAGACGAGTGCCAGTAAGCCAGCTTGTTTGGGACAATGTTATTTGCAAGGGCCTTATGCGGTGCATCTTCGCTCCCGAGGGCATTACGGCTGCAGTGACTGTCAAAGACAGTTTGTTCCTTGAGGATGCAATGAAGCTCAACTTTGGGTTTATGTAACTTTCTGAGTATGGTGATTCCATGCATTCCCTTTACTGTAAGATACACCCTATACCCTAAGCATAAAGGACCTATGCAATCAATCAATATATATATATATGTATGTATATGTATATGTATATGTATATGTATATGTGTATGTGTATGTGTATGTGTATGTGTATGTGTATGTGTATGTGTATGTATATGTATATGTATATGTATATGTATATGTATATGTATATGTATATATATATATATATACGTGCCCAAGGTTCATGGACACTTTAAGCGGCCTCGATATGTGGACGAGTGGCCGTGCGGCAGTGCAAGTGCAACACTCCATCTTCTACCACAATGGGCATGGTGCGAAGACTGGCAAGATCAGTCTCGATGATTGCTTCCTTTTCCACAACACCAGAGGGGTGGACGGGATCTCGATCCAGGCGTCGCGGTCCATCTTCGCGCAAAACGGACAGGCCATGTCTTCATGGTCTTGTCGCCTTGATGATGTCCTGTGCTGTTGGAATGGCGTAGCGCTTGAGTCAGCAAGAGGTCTTTTTCAGAACAGTACCTTCCTGGCGAATCGTATCGGCTTGAAATCAGGCTTTCCGCAGCAGCAAAGTTTTCCGCAGCTGCAGAGGGTCAACTTTGTTGGCTCCACTGAGTATGACATTCACTACACCGGCGATTATCTGATTGATTGGGAGCCGGTCTTAGTTTTCTGGAACAGTTCGGAGATTGGGGAGATGATCTATGATGCAGAGGATGGGAGTGGAGCAGGCCTCCTCCGGCTTACTTGGCCACCCGAGGTACCGCAGGCCCCGTTCCACCACGGCATGTACCAGGAGGGCGACTGCGCGGGTCAGTGCACAGTGGAGTGGTTCAATGCGGAGTGGGTGCGCTTGATGGATGTGGACTCCCTCCAGTCGGGCCTCGAGCTGAAGAGCGGGCAGGGTCTTCGAGATGCCTTGCTGAACGGATACTCCCCGAGCAACCTGAGCCTGGCGGCCTTCTTGGAAGATCAGGCTGCCATGCTCAGTGCCCTCGGCGGAACACTGCCAGGCTCGCCCTTCTCCAACACCAGCACCACCAGCACCACGAGCACTACCACCCTGCCGCCGGCGCACTTGGTGTCTGATATGGATGTTGTCCTCGCTGGACCGATGGTGCTTCAAGCGCCTCTCTCAAAGTTCCTGTCCCATGCTTAGGTTTAAGTTGCTCGTCTGTCAGATGCTGAGATGCCCTTCAGGTAAACACGACGTGGACATCTGTGGAGGGGGCTCGTGCACTTTCGAGCACTGTCGCAGTGCTGCCGGGAGTGGTCCTGACCATCGAAGGCATGGGTGGCTCGTTCGCTGTCCCGGCCTCGGCCTCTTCGTGCAAAGTCCGGCAGTATCGCAAGCCACACGCGCGCGCGGGCTCGCGCGCGCTCGCGCGCGCGACCCAAACCACGCCAACAGGATGGGGTTGTGGCCCGGACCCTTATCCACATCATCATACTTGTGAAGCATTGTACCCCAAATCGCCCAAGTCGCGACCTGCCCCCCCCCCAATCCAGAAGCAGATGGCGAGATCATGAAGGAGACTCCGTGTTTGCTGAGGTCCTGTCATTCATCCACCCGAACGCCACCATCCAGGTGCATCCTGGCGCCAGTCTTGTCGCACGTCGTGCGGCTTTCTCCAGTCCATTTCGGAGCTGGCGCGGCTGGGAAGGGGAAGTGCCTTTCGAGCCGACAGGGATTGAGACAACACAATCGCACTCATCCGAGGTCTCTGCCGTCACACTGCTTGGTGGGCCTGGCATTGCACACGTTCTCTTAGATACAGTCATTTGCACGGGCTTGAAGCACTGCGTACGCGGATCCGAATATGAAGAAGAGGACCACATGCACGTCACGAACAGCTCCCTACCCTCACATGGTCAGTAGACTCAATAGGTGTCGAAGCTTTCTCTGCAAGCCGGGCACATGTAGCCTTGGGACGGAAGCTGGAAATCCAAGGCGCCTTCCTTGACAACTACATGGCCATTCGTTCTGGGTTTGTCCAGACACAGGTGAGCTCTTCCGTCTTCTTCCGAAATGTCGTCGGCATCTGGGACCCTTCCGATAAAGATGTTAGCATTGATGTTGCATATTGTCTCTTCATGGAGAACAAGATCGGTGTCACGATGAGGCCCATTCGAGGCTATGGACAGTTGGGCAGCTTACGGCTGCTGGACAGCTCGATCTTTGCATACAACGGACAAGCTGCTGAGCTCGGGCTTGCTTACCAGGTGGGACAGTTTCAGTGCACAGATCTTCTGTTCTACGGGAACGACATTGCCATGGGGACGTCAGGTATTTTTCGACCGCTTCTTTCCGGGTTTGAAGGTCTTCTGCGAAACATTACTTTTAAGGATAACCGCGTCGGCCTGAAGATAGGGCCTCAAGTCTTTTCTTTGCACTTGGACAAAGTCAACTTCATGGGATCAACAGAGTATAACATACATTGGCTGGTGACACCCATGTATAGCTCGTGGGGCGGATGGTTGCTAGATGGGACGACCGTATCCTGGAATGCGACATCATCTCACGAGGTTTTCGACAAAATCTTCGACGCCGAGAACACATCTGATTCAAGCATCGTGCACATCTCGCCACTCCTCCTTCAGGCCCCGTTCCACCACGGCATGTACCAGGAGGGCGACTGCGCGGGTCAGTGCACAGTGGAGTGGTTCAATGCGGAGTGGGTGGGCTTGATGGATGTGGACTCCCTCCAGTCGGGCCTCGAGCTGAAGAGCGGGCAGGGTCTTCGAGATGCCTTGCTGAACGGATACTCCCCGAGCAACCTGAGCCTGGCGGCCTTCTTGGAAGATCAGGCTGCCATGCTCAGTGCCCTCGGCGGAACACTGCCAGGCTCGCCCTTCTCCAACACCAGCACCACCAGCACCACGAGCACAGCACCAGCGCCAACACCAGCACCATCGACCCACATCACATCGACGTCACTGCCGGCACCCTTGGTGGTGGTGGAGCCGGTGTGGATCAGGGCAAACACGACGTGGTCTTCTAATGAAGTGCGTACACTTGCCAGCCCAGTCCACATCTTGCCAGGTGTCACCCTCACGGTCGAAGGTGAAGACTCATTCGCGGCACTGACCTTAGACGCAGATACTCTCTCTCTCTCTTTCTCTCTCTTTCTCCAGGGGTTTGCAGCTGTCCTCATGTGACACGGTGCCGCAACTGCAACTCAGGTGCTGTCCTTTGTTCATGAGGATGCCTCCATTGTGGTGTATCAGGGCGCCAGGCTGGTGATCAAGCGGACAGCCTTGTACACCCCGTTCTCTCACTGGGGTGCAGACCAGCAAACGCAGCACCTAGAGCGCCCGCAGACGAGCGCCATCAGGACGCGGGATATGTATTTCTATGTCAGTCCCATCGCAACCCAAAACGCTGCGCCTCCCACCGTGCTGATGGACAACGTCATTTGCCAGGGTCTGATGCGCTGTATTTGGAAGCAGCATTCGCAAGGCCTGACGGTTCTCATATCGAACAGTCTGTTCATGGATGTTGCTGACGCACTAGACTTTTCGAGCTTTGCGAGCTCGCTCACTGCCAAGATTGAGGATTCCGTCTTTTTCCGTGCCCAACATGGAATTCGCGTGGAGTTAAGATGGGGGGCCATCCACATCCACTTGGATCGATGCTGGTTCATGCTGACTGACTTTGGCCTCGCAAGTGCTGGATCTGGGTCGGTGCGGGCCGATGGCCCAGATCAAGCTTTCCATGTTGGTCGGTCGGTCTTCGTGGACAACCAAAACGCGATTTCCATAGCCTACCGGCAGGTCGACCCTGCTCTTGAGGACGTGCTCTTCTACAGGAACGATGTTGCGTTTTCTGGCAAGGCCCAGTTGCTCAGCGATGTCACTTTCCTGGACAACCGTATCAGTTTGCGTCTCTATTATTCGGGGGTCCTGGAGATGGCATCCGTCGTCAACAGGGTCAATTTCATCTCTGCCGAATGCCACATTGAGTACAGTGGAAGCTGGAATTTGGAAGTGAACCTGTCCGGTGTATCCCTTGCTTGGAATGCCTCATCGCCCGATGAAGTGGGGGCGCAGATCTGTGGCGGAGGGCACCTTCACATCTCGGGCCTAGCCTTCTTTCCAAGCTTTCATCATGGGATGTTCCAGGAGGATGCCTGCGCCCGGTGTGGGGACTGGTTCAACATGGAGTGGGCCGGCTTTATCAGAATGGAGCGAGGCTTCTTCGTGATGTATGATGACCAGAAAGTGCTACACAGCGGACAGGTTATTCACGACGCATTGCGGCAGGGATACGACCCAAGCGGCATGACCTGGCGAGAATTCACAGAGGATCTTGGTCAGATGCTGGATGCAGTCCGTGCATATCAAACAGTTGGGACTCAGACTTCCACTTCCACCAGCACGGTCAGCACCACCACTTCAGCAACGGCCATGCTTTTGACGTGCGGCAGCTCAGTGGCTGCATCCACTGTGGGCCGGACCAGCAGTGTCGGCTACGAGTCCGGTGATGCGCGGCACATCTTTTGTCCACCTGAGGGCATTGGTGATGTACTCTTTAGTACTTGTGGTTCGTCCTTCGACACCTCACTCTCCATCATGGGCCAGGACCTGTGGCGATCCTGTGACGATTGCGGATCCTGCTGGAACAGGGCAGAGATTAGAGTCGCCGGCCTCTCACCGGGCAGGTGCTACGACGTTGTCGTCGACGGCAAAGGAAGAACCGAGGGAGCCTTCCAGCTTTCTGCTTCATGCTGCTACACGGCCGAATGCAGTGGCCGCGGCATCGTCAGGCACAGAGCCAGGGCCTCAGACAGCGCGTGCAGGTGCGAGTGCTTTTGGCCTTACACCGGCCCCATGTGCGACGAATGCCGTGCTGAGTCCATGTCAGTGTTCCTGAACGGCACATGTCAACCTTGCCTTGCCTCAGCAGGGACAGCGAAGCTTGCATTGCACGGCTCAAATGTGACGTGGTCTCCGAACTTCATCGATGCAAGGTGTCGTGACTCCATCCGCATCCATCACTTCGTACATCGATCTGCGCATGGGCTTCTGAGGACTGTGGCCTCCGGAGACGATGGCAGTTTCGCTTTTGAGCTGGGCAGCTGCTCGCACCCCAGTCTGCACTCCCTCCGCATACACATCACGGCCAACGGCCGGCTGAGAGGTTCGGTGCAGTGTGTCCCCCAGATCACATGTCCAGAGCTCCTGCTTTCGAACAAGAGCATGCCAAGCGTGTCCATACAGATGCTGGAGTGGGACATTGCAGCTGCCACAGTCGCCCTCGCCTTTGTGGACTTGCTGTTCGGCCTTTTTCCAATCGGCACGATCTCGATCAACTTGGTGCCTTGGAACGGTGACGTCAACGCCACGTTGCACGCCACCTCCGCCGTCCATGCCCTGGCCTTCTTCAATCGACGGCTAGACTCGGCTCTGGGCATGCGCCCTTGCTCTGCCGCAAGATCGACACAGGCAAACAATGAGGCGGGGCTGTTGGTGCTTGTGGGGCGTTGCAGCGGCGACATCGGCGAAGCATTGGAAGAGGCACTTTCTGAGCAGTGGATGCTCCATCTGGGTGGTGAGCCTGGTGAGCCTTCAAAGACCTCGAACTTGTGGCACACTTTTCCGCTTGGCCGAGAGCGGCAGGGCGTCCAAGCCTTTTCAGAAGGCCCAGTCTCGAGTTGTCCAGTGGGCTTTAAACTTTAGCCTTCTTCAATGGGTACTATAATCATGCCATAATCCTCACATGATAAAACTTTATTCCCCCCTGTGTACTGGACAAGTGGGAAGGTGTCTGTGGCTTTATGAGCTCTTGGCTGGAGAAGCCGGGCTGCACCGAGAACGTGACGGCAATCTTCTTTCCGGGGGCGGTCGCGACGAGGCTGCGGCAGTTCCTGACTTTCAAGGGCATTTGCCCCGGCGAGACCCTGCCGTCCTGCTGCTTCGCCGGCCACTGCTCTTCCCTGGCATTCATTGGCCCTGACGGCCATTTGAGATGCGCAACTCCCCTGTTGAAGAGCGGGCAGCACACTGTGAGTCTGTGGTTCGAGACTGAGAACAGAAGCGTGCTGTTCGAGAGAAAGCTCGATGTTGGTGGCGCATCTCAAACATCTCGCACAATCAGTTTGTACCAGCACAGCTACGATGGAAAGCAGTTTCGATTTCGTGTTCGGTCGCAGGAGGTCTTGCCCGACATTGTGTGTTGTGGTTATGTAGCTCTCAGCCCTGGAATGGATGTGATGGGCATCACAAGCCCCAGCGAGTGTGGCAATCGGCACTTCGACTTGCCCGCTCCTCCGCCCATTGTGGATGCGACTCCGTTTCGCGAGGCTCCAGGGGCTCCAAACGGACTGAACCCCAGCATACCCCAGCATACCCTAGCAAGAACGCTGTGACAACTTCAGGCTGCAACTCTCCGCCTGCGTTCTTACAGCATGTTAAGGAAACTTGCAAACCTCAACCTGACAGCCCGGACAAGGCCGTTGCTTTTCTGGCTGCACGTTGCTACCTCGTGCAAAAGTTTGCTGATGGCAACAGCGACAGCATCCCAGAAGATTTTGATGGGACACTGTCGCCCCCCGCCGCATCCGCAGCTCCAGTATCTGGATCTTGGGATTGGTTCAACAAGGTGCGGCCTCTTAAATGTGTGTTGTCAACGTCAAGGGGTTGTGCGCAAACTAGAGCCCGATGAGCTCACACGTGAGTGCACCAGGTGCAAACCTTCGTCAACAATGCGAGTGACGCTGCAAGAGAGGGAAGGCAAACCTCTTTGGCCGTCGTGCGCTGGGCCTTGCACGCTGCTGGAATCCAGACGAGCGGTGCCATGCCAAGATAGGATGAGTCTTGTTTGTTTCATAGCTGATCCCCAGAGACCGAGGAGAATTCCTTGACATTCTCCAGTCTGATATGTCCACAGCCTGTAAGGTTCCGGCGAAGAGAAGCATTGTTCGCCAGATGACCAAGCCCACAGCGGTCGCTGCTTCTATGCCTGGAGCGCAGCGGCCAAAGATGCTGGCAAGCACCTCGAGCAGCAGAGCCCTCCGAAGCCTTCTCTGGCCCAAAAACAAAACCAAACCTCCGCCAAACCACCAAGTCTGAAATGACCCAGAGATTGTAGTCCTTGTAGTCCGATGGCTCATTTGGCATCAGCTTTTTGAGGATTGAAGGCTCAGCCTGTCAGTTTGGAGTCTGCCAAGATTGAGGTACTTGATACGTTCTGGCTTCCAGGAGATTGCTTCAGATTGGCAGCTGACCGGTGCCAGGCACGCTACGCCTGACATGTTCAGATGTACTTTTGAATTCTTGAGAAGATGAACCGGCTCCTGACAGGCTCGGAGACATCCTGGTCTTACCTGGCTTCAATGCGACGTGCCACTTGATTGATCTTGACAACGACTTTGACCAAGAAAAGCCAGCATGTTCTTGCACCATTTGTAGCAGAGTATGTAAGTCTTCTTGAACTGCCCGTAGTGGCCTGCGAAGGTATGCTAGATCAGACGGCGCGGAATTATTCCTTTGGATCCGGCTTCATTGCCATCAGAACCTCGCAGGAAGATCATCCCTGGGTGTCTGACAGATTCTACAGCCTCCGTCTGCTGCAGCACGCCGTCGCAATTGAGAGTGATGACAGGCCCCACCTCTACAGACTGCGGGAAGGCGCGTCCAAGGCAAACTAGCTTGGGGAAGCCACAGGCTGACTCAGGAAGCACGAAGCCCCCCCAGCTTTTTTTCTCTCCCAGATGCCTTGACACCCATCAGAACGCTGAGGGGATATGCGGGGTGTGGCAGTCCCTGAAAAGCATTTTAAGGCGAAGGTCTTTTCATGTTTTTTTTCCATATTTAATGGCTACCGCCAGTGCCGCCGACCCCAGATCTAAGAGAGTCTTGCTGATGGCACGCTGAAGGCCCTAAACCCAAAACCCTACAACCTCAATGCCGAAACCCGGAACCCCGAAACCTAAACTTACAACCCTTACACCCTGAAACCCTAAACCCTAAACGTCCAAGAAAACCCTAAACCCTAAGCTCATAGGAGCCATCGGTCCATGGGGGCCATGGAGGTCGAAGGGATGGGTCCATGGGGGCCATGGGGGTCGAGGGCCATGGAGGGCGGGCATGCACTGGGGCCCTTTAAAGTCATTTGATTGGGTCTAGAGGCATAGGGCCAGGGGGACCATGGGGCCATGGGGCCAGGAGCCACAAAGTAGGGGGTTGGCCGTCGAAGCATGGCGTGGGTGGGGGCCATGGGGGTCGAGGGCCATGGAGGGCGGGTGGAGGGGGGGAAGGGCGGAGCAAGCGGAGCGGGCGGGCATGCGCTGGGGCCCTTTAAAGTCATTTGATTGGGTCTAGAGGCATAGGGCCAGGGGACCATGGGGCCATGGGGCCAGGACCCACAAAGTAGGGGGTTGGCCGTCGAAGCATAGAGATGGGGGCCATGGCGCCAGGAGGAATGGGACAATGGAGGCATGGGTCCATGGGGGCCATTGGGGGTCGATGGCCCTGGAGGGCAGTGGAGCGGGAAGGGCGGAGCAAGCGGAGCGGGCGGAGCGGGCGGCATGCTATGAGGCGAGCCACAAAGTAGGGGGTTGGCCATGGCGCCAGGAGCCATGGGGCCATGGAGGCATCCATGGGGGCCATGGGGGTCGAGGGCCATGGAGGGCGGGTGGAGCGGGGGAAGGGCGCGGGCATGCACTGGGGCAGAACCACGAAGCATGGAGAGATTGGTGGGGCCATGGAGGCATGGGTCCATGGGGGGCCATGGGGGTTGAGGGCCATGGAGGGTGGAAGGGCGGAGCAAGCAGAGCGGGCGGAGCGGGCGGGCATGCACTGGGGCCCTTTAAAGTCATTTGATTGGGTCTAGAGGCATAGGGCCAGGGGACCATGGGGCCATGGGGCCAGGAGCCACAAAGTAGGGGGTTGGCCGTCGAAGCATGGAGACATTGCGGGCCATGGCGCCAGGAGCCATGGGGCCATGGAGGCATGGGTCCATGGGGGCCATGGAGGGCGGGTGGAGCGGAGCAAGCGGAGCGGGCATTTGATTGGGTCGAGAGGCATAGGGCCAGGGGATCATGGGGTCATGGGGCCAGGAGCCAGAAAGTAGGGGGTTGGCCGTCGAAGCATGGAGACATTGAAGGCCGAGCCATGGGGCATGGGTCCATGGGGCCAATGGGGGTGGAGGGCCATGGAAGGGCGGAGCAAGCGGAGCGGGCGGAGCGGGCGGGCATGCACTGGGGTCTTTGAAGTCATTTGACTAGAGGCATAGGGCCAGGGGACATGGGGCCATGGGGCCAGGAGCCACAAAAAGTAGGGGGCATGGAGACATTGGGGGTCATGGCGCCAGGAGCCACGGGGCCATGGAGGCATGGGTCCATGAGGGCCATGGGGGTCGAGGGCCATGCACTGGGGCCCTTTAAAGTCATTTGATTGGGTCTAGAGGCATAGGGCCAGGGGACCATGGGGCCATGGGGCCAGGAGCGAAGGTTGGAGACATTGGGGGCCATGGCGCCAGGAGCCATGGGGCCATGGAGGCATGGGTCCATGGGGGCCATGGGGGTCGAGGGCCATGGAGGGCGGGTGGAGCGGGGGAAGGGCGGAGCAAGCGGAGCGGGCGGAGCGGGCGGGCATGCACTGGGGCCCTTTGAACTCTTTGGATTGGGTCTAGAGGCATAGGGCCAGGGGACCATGAGGCCATGGGGCCAGAAGCATGGAGACATTGGGGGCCATGGAGGCATGGGTCCATGGGGGCCATGGGGGTCGAGGGCCATGGAGGGCGGGTGGAGCTTGGGAAGGGTGGAGCAAGCGGAGCGGGCGGAGCGGGCGGGCATGCATTGGGGCCCTTTAAAGTCATTTGATTGGGTCTAGAGGCATAGGGCCTGGGGACCATGGGGCCATGGGGCCAGGAGCCACAAAATAGGAGGTTAGCCGTCGAAGCATGGAGACATTGGGGGCCATGGCGCCAAGAGCCATGGGGCATGGGTCCATGGGGCCAATGGGGGTGGAGGGCCATGGAGGGCGGGTGGAGGGGGGAAGGGCGGAGCAAGCGGAGCGGGCGGAGCGGGCGGGCATGCACTGGGGCCCTTGAAAGTCATTTGATTGGGTCCAGAGGCATAGAGCCAGGGGACCATGGGGCCAGGAGCCACAAAGTAGGGGTTTGGCCGTCGGAGACATTGGGGGCCATGGCGCCAGGAGCCATGGGGCCATGGAGGCATGGGTCCATCGGGGGTATGGGGGTCGAGGGCCATGGAGGGCGGGTGGAGCGGGGGAAGATGGAGGCATAGGTCCATGCAGGCCATGGGGGGCCATGGAGGGCGGAGCAAGCAGAGCGGGCGGAGCGGGCGGGCATTATGGGGCCAAGGATGGGCGTGCACTGGGGCCCTTGAGGTCGAGAAGATGGGGCCATGGAGCTATTGTTGTCTATGGGGCCAGGAGCCATGGGTCCATGGGGGCCATAGGGGCCGAAGGGATGGGGCCATGAGGGGCGGGCGGAGCGGGTGGGAAGGATGCACTGGGACCCTTTATGGGGCCAGGAGCCATGGGTCCCTTTAAAGTCATCTGATAAAGTCATCTGATCGGGTCTAGAGGCATAGGGCCAGGGGACCATGGGGCGGGGCGGGGGTGGGTAGCGGGGTTGGGAGGTGGTGAGATAGCCATGGATGGGGGCCAGCATGGAGGTTTGGAAGGTAGTATAAAAAGCAGTGGGTCTTCACTGACGCCGCCCCCGGCTGGGGTCGGCGGATAAAGTCTGAGAAAACCTGCCATGTAGAGCTGAATATGCCTGTTTTCAGTCGCGAGGGGTGGACTTGCTGGCGGGACACTATGAGCTAATCATCCCACTGCCGCTGAAGAATCACGTGCTGGCACACAGACAAGCGAAAGCACAGGCGGGACGACAAAATCTCGTGGAGCAGGTTTGGGCTTGCAGGGGTCACTTGCATTGAGTATTGATGATGAATCTACTTAGTGTTGCTAGAGGCTCAACTTAGGCTCTAGTAGGGCCATGCAATGGATTGAGAAGCTCATGCTAAGTGCACTGGAAAGTCTCCCTTCCAGGCGGTGGCAACGTGGTACGATGCAGATTCAGATGCCCGGCAGGCCGCGAAGGAGGTGCGACAGGAGTTGGCAACACGGCAGCCCTGCCCAAGAGTGGTCAGGAGAGCCAGGTGGTGGAGAAGTCCATTTCCGAGACAGCTCGCTGCGACGATGTTTCAACCTGGGTATGCGTGTTTTGACAGCACCACTCATCTTCCTCATTTTGTACGCTGCTGTTATCGAAGAGTTTCAACGATGACTGAGATCTACGATGCACGGTGGCCGTCCACAATGCGAGGGCTGGCCCGAGGCGCTGCGCGAGGCGCAGCCCGGGAGGAGCTTCAGTGGCTGGACGCGCAGGAGCAGGATGCCGAAGACTTGTGGTGGGCCCTCGTGTCGGAAGAAGTCCCATCGACCACAACCACGACCTCCACTGTAGAGCCCCTCGAACTCATCTTCAAGGGCATCACCTTTGCTACCTCTGAGCGCGCTGGTGTGGTTGTCGTCTCCTGGCGTCCTGTGGTGGTCAACAGTTCAGGCGAGAGCCCCACGAACCACAGCCACCAATCGGTTCAGTATGCCTTGCTATATGCTGATGGCGCGTACAACTTCACAGGGCTCGACACAGCAGCCTCCTTGCAAAACTACAGCGGTGCCCGGGTCCTCATGCACAGCTGGGAGGTGCTGAACACCAGCCTGGAGGCGGAGCCAAACTCCACGCTCTCCCTTCTTGTGCTCGCCCTGGTGCCAGGCCAGATGTCCAAGAACCGCCAAGCCACCCGAGTGGTGGTGGCCGCAGAAGATCCGGTTCTGGCGGACAACGTTACGGCGCTCGTGGAAGTGAGCCACAGCGCCGCTTTGGAGGTCTCTCTCCGCAATAGCTCCCATGCCCCGGGCGGGCGCATTGTGACCCTCAGCAGAGTGTGGGGGCATGGGGGCGACGGGCTTCCATCGCTTGAGCCAGGGGCCTGCGTGAGCGGGATCAGCAGCGAGGAGGAGCCGTTCTTGGTGGCGGTTGAGGCTGTGGAGTCGCTGTCGGAGTCGTCAATCTCACTCCGGGCTCATGTGGTGAGGATTGTCGATGTCTTCCAGCGCATCCATGTGGATTCCAGCCTTCAAGTAGATGCTTCCGATCCCGAGGAGGCAGAGGCAAACACGGAGGTGAACGAGGTGAACAACTCCGAGGGGAACTCGGCCTCCCTGCCTTGGCTGGACGTCAGCTTCGGGTTTTTGGAGAAATGTCAGGTTCGCCCGGAGATAAATACACGGTTCAAGTTTGACATGGACTCCATCTTCTCGCTCTCCCTGAGCTTTCATGTTGACGTCGCGGTGTCGGCATCTTGCCGACTCCGTATCTCCAAGACTCTATGGGAAGATTCGATAGAAATCGACATGCTGGCAAAGCTGAAGAAGATGCCGAAATGGATCAAGAAGGGTTTGAGAGTGGTGAAGCGATACGGTCCTGCTGTGTGGTTGACGCTGATACCAAGTAAAATGGTCCTGTTCCTCAGAGGCCAAGTGCAGATGGCGGAGTTTGGGGCAGACGTGACATTTGACGACCGCAGATCGTTTGGCTTCGAGATGCAGGGTTGGAAATGGAGTTCTTATATGTCGGAGCCGACGTCGTCTGCAGCGTGGGAACCAATGGATCCGACCGACCTCCTCACCGGTACCTTGTCGGTCACTGCAGGTTCTGGCTTGGGCTACGTCTGGTGGATTTCAAACATCCATGACATCGGCTTCAGTCTAATGCTCGAGACACACATGCTGCATTTCGAAGTTCAGGTCGAACCCATTCCACTTCCGCTGCAGATGACCTCCGGTCTTCCCCGGCTGGGTGTGAAGCCGGTGGTGTTCACCAAGCTGGACCTGAGTGTAAAGCCAGTAGCAATCGTCTTTAAGTTCCAGTGCAAGGCAGAGAGCTCTGGTTTTCTCAGCCTCTTTTGCAAAACGATCGGCGAAACGATCGACATCCTCACGTTCGTGCCACTCTCCATCCCGCTCGTCGCACTTCCAAGCCTTGACATTCAAGCGACCGAAGGTGCTGCGTGTGGCGTAACAGTCAAAGAATCCTATGGTTGGATAAGCCCGCTGCTGAAACCCCTGCTACCCTTGAGTTCGTCCAAGTCCAGATGGCTTGTTGCGTCCGATGATTCCTTTGGGGTAGAATTTCGGCCCAACAATGGGGTGGTGGCGGTGCTCTATGTGGACGATGTTTTGAGAGACCATCCTCCCAACTATCTCAGCGAGAAGACGGTCTACTATTATCGCTTTTCGAGTGCATTTCCTTGGCTCGCCATGGTGGTCGCGAAGCGCTTCGGCCAGCTGTGGGATGGCAGCTGCGTTAAGTTTTCATCGGAGGCTCCTTGCCAACATGTGCTGTCACAAGAAGAAGCCTATCAACTTGCAGCGTGCGGCTCTTCAGCCTTGCTTTCGAGCACATTGTAGCACTTTAACACCATCATGGTTTAAAGCGCAAAGTTGGGTCGTCCGCAGGGTGAGCTAAAGGGCACTTCGCGCGTCACGTGTTGCTTGCGGTATAAAGCATGATACAGTATGACCACACAGCTCCTCAGATCGGATTGTTCAACCGCTGACGCGATTGTCTTAGAGATTGCGGATAAATCAGCACGCGACCTTGGGACATAGTTGTACAAGCAGTGAGCCCAACAGCATGCACACCTCACCACTCTGGGAGTCCGGGTTGGTCTTCTGGAGCTGTGCTGGTTGAGGCGCCCCGACCTGTGCCGCCAAGTACGGACAACCCCTTCACTGAGGATACGGAAGCTCGACGGCTCATGATACGGGGTCGGGTGGCTCAGGGAGTGCGTGGGTCTGGGATTTCCTGTCGAAGGGCTTGGGCCCGAAGCAGATGAAGGATGATTGAGGCTGTTAAGAGGAGGTGCAGTTGGGTTCAGGGGTTGAAGTCGTGAAGTGAGGACTGGTCACCTCCCCGACGACGGGCCAGGCTCCGAGGTGATCCGCACTGCACCACCTATGATGGTCTTGACTTTGAATGCTCCCTGGTCTGATCCGGACTGCAGATTCTTTGCACAGCATTTTGACAATGTTGACCAATGCATCTGGAATCCCGGTTATTCCCGGCGGACGAGTAGAGCATGTCAAATCTGAAGATCGTCGCTCTGTGTAGGTCGCTGTTGAGCCTTCGAAAGCTGGTCCACTTTTGTGGGGCTGTGCATGGAGGTTACATGCATGCGCTAGCCCGCGTTCCTAGAACAATGGAAATACGGTTGAGTGGAAACCGTTGCCGGCTCATTGCGTCCCACTCTTCGGCCACCCAGAACTAAGGCAACTTCCTGGGCGAAGCCGTGTGGACGAGATGTGCAGACTTTTCGTTGCATGTGATCGCGGGCCAATTGGGCAATCAGTCGCGTGCAACCGTTACCACAGGGTTTGCCATCAAGATGGGCCAGGATGTTGTTTATGGCCTCTTGCCCGATGCTGCGACCGCAAACGGCTCTGCTCTGGACTTCTACTTCAATGGCGACCTTGTGGACAACCTTGAAAGTTTCGAAGGCGAGAGCATCTCCATCCAGCATGGTGAGAATAACAGCTTCACGGCTACCGCGGGCGAGACTGAAGTTGTGATCACCCCTCATGTTTCACACCTGTTTCTTCAGGTTGCCATCGCAGACGTATGCTTCAACAGGACAGATGGGCTGATGGGCAACAATAATGGGAACGCATCGGATGACCTGCGCCCCTTCAACTCCGTGGACATCCTAGCCGAGAACTCTTCTTTGGAAGAGATCTACGAAAAGTTTGTGCCCCTCGGCCATGCGTGCGCTGCCGCATGAGGGTAAGCTAGGCCGGTTGATTGCTCTAGGTGCAGATGCTGAGGCTGTCATGGTGCATCACCGATGCAGCGGACTCTCTGTTTCTTCCTGACCACTTCCACGCCTGCGATCGGTCATACTGGCCCTTGTTCTCTTCGGAAATCGAGTCGTGCGCGGCCGAGTGCGACGGAGACTTGGCTGTCAGAGTGATTGTTCGAGGATGAACGCAAGAGCCCGCTCAACCCCGAAGCCTCAGGTGATCGCAGCTGCTGCTTAGATTGGGAGGTGGCCGGGCCCGAGCTGGCCCAATCTTCTTCGGAGGACGCGCAGCGAGCCCGAGAAGCAGACGAGCAGGCCGTTCCTTTTGGGATGATGCCGCCAGTCTTGTCGCTTCCCAGCGACATTCATTTCACGTCCGCCTCTTCACCTATTGTGCAGCTTGAGATCTTCGCGATGGCGGGGCCATCCGCCACGATCGTTGATCTCGGATGCTCATTGTGCTCCAAGTCTTCCAACTCTTCCAACTCTTCCAACGCCTCTGCAGCGGACATCAATGTGACCTGCTCAGTGCAGGGCTTGGGAGAGCAGAACGCCTCACTCCTTGTCGTGTCCAGCAGCTTGCCTTCGGGAGTCTTCGAGTGCGCAGCTCTGGATGACAACGGCTTTGAGACGATCGGTGTGGGGGACATCCTTGGCATGAGGAGAGCTGAGAGGCAAAGTTGTTCATGTAGATCTGCGTAGATGCATTGTGGCATTCGGCCTGTTGCTTGCAACGGCAGGACGACGACTACTAGCACGGGCAGCACCACCAGCAGCACCACGAGCGCGACACACTCCAGAACCACGAGCAGCCCGACCGGCACGAGCACCTCCAGTTCTTCAAGCACTTCTGAAGTCACCAACACAATCTCGACGAGCCAACGTAGTATGACGACACTATCTTCAACGTCCCTAACTACTGCAAGCACTACTGCAAGCACAAGTTCTTCGACGTGGAGCAAGACCACCACGATTGCTGCGTCGAGCACGATGTTCACTTCGATCTCCAGTACACACACCTCCAGCACGCACACCTCCAGCTCCACGTCCACTGACAGCTCCAGCACGACATCTGCAGGGAGCTCCAGTACGCAGACGTTGAGCTCCACTTCCACACACAGCTCCAGCACTACCTCCACTACGACCTCCGTGACACACACCTCCTCTGGCAGCTCCACGACATCCAGTACACTCACTACACACACATCGAGCTCTACTTCCACTGATAGCTCCTCGACAACGTCTTCAGTGGGCCCCATTACACGCACATGGAGTTCGAGTTCCACTGAATCCACTTTCGCTGGCTCCATCACTCGAACCGGTACCTCTTCCACGTCCACCACCATCACCAGCACGAAAACAGAGCTTGGTTGCGATGGTGGAGAGCGCTCGCATACATGGGGTCTCAATGCCACGAACTGCTCGGGCGTCGTCACCGTCGGCTCGACGTGTTCTTTGGAAGGGTGCACCTCACCTCTGAGACCCGTCGGTGCGTACAGGTCGGGTCCCCTCGCCCAAGTATGGTATGAGATGTTGCTGAAACTTGCACCACTTCCTCTGCTGGCTACCTTGTAGCATGTCGTGCTTGGATGTGGTTCTCTTGACGTGGACACATCATTTTTGGTATATTCTCTCTCTGTTACCACATAGGCACATAGGTATGCTTTAAGTCAACAGAAATAGACGCCCTGAATCCGCTCCGAGTGCTGCGCTTGCAGCTAAGCAGGTGCATGCCCATGAACGCCACCCCCGAGCTGTTGGGATTTGTTGCTTGCGTCCCCGAGGACTGGGAAGGTGCGGGAAGGTTATTTGGGTCTGGCAAGTGTCATACCAGCCATTGGTTTAGATGCACGGGGTGTCGCAACAGATCTCAACTGCTGATGTGGTAGTTCTAGAAGTTGCAGTCCGTCATCGGGCAAAGGGCGTATGAAGCAATGATGAAATGAGCGTGGAGCCCCTGGACCTCTCCGAGACGTCCAGCACAGTCACACCCGTTTTAGGGCTTGGGGCCTTTGCCCAGGGGTGTGGTGCCCTTTTCCTGGTATCCTGTTCTGCACTGTGGCAGTGTAGCATGTAGCAAGGCTCCAAGACACAGGTACATTATGGTGCCTCAGCAGCCCACTGTCAACCTAAGATTTCCTCTTGTCCATGGGCTTGTTACACACAGCCCCAAGCTCTGGCGGAACATGCCCTGCATCTCTTCGAGTGCTCGCAACATCTTCCCGCCTCAATCCCTGAGGATCTACCCATCAGGTGGATCCTGGTCCTTGCCCATAGCTTCACTTTTCGTCTGGAAGGGCGAGGCACGTCGGACCTGGTCAGAGGACTTGGGCAGGAGCTGCTACTGCAGCCTGGCCAAAATTGGGGATTCTTCGGCTTCGGGAAGCCTTAAGCCCTGAATTCTCAAAAGCCTGACATGAGGAAGCACTATGACATTACGGTCCCATATCTCCTCCGCCTGGATGTGAAGAGCGACTTCTCGAGGCGGCTAGACAGCGCCTCCGAAAATGCAAGTGCTCACGATGAAGATGATGAAGCCTTCTCAGCGCTCGTTTCGTGCCCTGGCGCCATGGTCTAGTTTCCCCTCGCGCCTACTTTAGGGGCTTAAGGAGTTGATTTAGGGGGGCTGCACTCCGGTGCGAACTCCAAACCCTACCTGTGCCATGAACCACCCTAACCCGTAGATCTAACCGATTGAGCCTTCTAACTGGTGGCCTTGGAAGACACCTTGAACTCCAATGTGACGTTACCTACCTGCTGCTGCAGTTTCAGGTTTGCTCAGTAGGGCTTAGGGTTCAGGGTTAAGCTAGGGCGTAGGGCTTACCATCTGGACATTGCCCTGATGCTCGAGCCTTGCGGAATCGAGGTACGAGCTGGCAGTACCTCCTGGCAAGGCTGACGCCTGGGCGCAGTCGGTGCTGAGCGACTCTGCAGCCGTGTTGAAGGAGCCCACAGCGTTTAGGCCTCGCACGAAGACACATATGTGAGGGCAGAGTGTTAACTGGAGGAGGGACAAGCGGAAAGAGTTGTAGGTTTAGCGCACTGTTAGTGCGTATAATTTTGGGAGCTTGTGTATCGTGGACATGCTGGTTTCCGCTTTGACAGACTTGCATGCATGTTTGTTGCACGAGCTTGTCTCGCAGCTGGGTTGCTGGAACTGTGCTCGTTGCACCTGGAAAGGACTCCACGGCAAGTGCGGGCGTGACTGCATTCTCGCTGGACGTTGCCGGGCCCCCGATTCTGTATGAGCAGCAGTCTCCCATGGACGAGGTGCGGTCTCATGAGTTATTTGCATGGCTTTGCAGGAAAAACTTGCTTCCTGTGGCGTTCCGGTGCTGTCAGGCCGGCCTCCCATTGCTGAGTTTCCTCGGCGAGCCCTCTGAGCAGCTTGCAGCTCCCGTGGCAGCGGTGGATGACAGCACTCTGTGGGAAACCTGGGCTATCGTGATTGCTGTTGCTGTGGCTCTCGCAATCATGGTGGTGTGTATGGCGTGCTTGTGCAAGAGGGCCCTTGCCAAAAGGCAATCCGCAGCTTTATCTGGGGATGCTTGCATCCCAGAAGTCGATGCCACAAGCGACTCCGGCTTCGGCTCAGCTGTGCCGCTTGAGCACAAGAACTGGGAGCATGCAGCTGCTTCGCAGGGCCTGCCTGTGGCGTCGGTGTCGGAATCTTTCATGCTGGAGGTTTCAAGCGACGGCGCCGAGGAAACCGATGCCGACCACATCACCAAGGGTGCCGAAGGTGCCGAGGGCGATGGCGATGGCAATGCGGAGGGCGGCAATGCGGAGGGCGATGGCAATGCGGAGGGCGATGGCGAGGGCGAGGGTGATGGCGAGGGCGAGGGTGATGCCGAGCGCGATGCCACTGGCGACGACGAGAGCGAGGGCGAGGGCGATTGCGAGGCAGCCCCAGGCCCAGGTGGGGCATTCCGAAAGTCGGCTCGGATAGGGATTGAAGCGGCCAGCGGTCGGTGACAGAAGTAGGAGTTGATCGCCCCCTGATTCGCTTGAGGTCCAGATTTGGAGGTGCCAGGGGTTTCAGTAGACGAAACTACAAAAGGTCGCCTCCTTGTCTCGTTGTGAGCCAACGGAAATGAAGCAGTTTGCTCCAGCCCACTGCCACTCTTTTTTTTGCGGCTGGTTTTGCAGAGCATGCATGAGCATGCACTCGCACATTATCTTAGTCATATGCTGCCGCAGTGATCGCAGATTGCTGTCTCTCCATTCTGTGTTCATCCAGTTCCTGCACAGAGCACGGCTTGGCGTGCAGAACTTCAGCCAAGACGTTGCCCGCATTTGCCCGCCTGCTTATATCAGGAAGGGGCGTCAAGCAACATTGTCCAGGGCCCGCCTGCAATGCTGTTGGCCGCATGTTTTCGTGGGTAATCTGGTGAAGCCACAATGCCCAACGCACATAGACTTGCAATGAGGAGGTGTGTCAAGCAGCATTTTCCAGAGCCGGCATGCAACGCTGTTGGCCTCATGCTTGCTTGGCACCGTAGAGTGATCTGGTGAAGCCACGTTGCTCAACGCGCATAAACTTGCACTCAGGTGGTGTGTCAAGCAGCATTGTCCGCCAAGCTATAATCTTATCGGGCGTCATATTTTCTGAAGGCTTCGGATGTAGGATCGGACAATCCCGAGCCACATGAACTCTTCAAAAAAACTCATAGATTAGATTTGAATTTCTATAAAGAGAGACAACGATTCTATTCGTGGGTATCTCAAAAGAAATTACTTAGAGAATTCACAGAATCCCCAAGGAATTCTTAGAAAAAAACCTTGGGGCATTTCCTTTTCCAAAACGATTAAGTGTGTCGTCTCGTGACGATAGGGATATGTACGCATCCTATTGGGATGCTACCCAGGACCTTCATGACCGCCCAATTGATATTCTTGTTATGGCCCCGCCCATATTGAAGTAGTATTCTTGGACTCGTTTTCCTCGTACCGCCTTGGGCGTAGTAGTGACTAGCCCGTTTCCAAGATTTGTTGGAAAAAAAGTCCCCATCAATAAGTGGCCGAAAGTTGTAAAACTCTGCATTTGGGTTTCGATCCCATGGATTTGAGAATTTGGGGAGATCAGAAGAAGGAATTCATAATTTGTTGGGGAAGTATTTATGTATTGGCAGACGAATATGTCCATTGGAATCCAGGCGACACTTTCTACGAATATATATATATATATATATATATGACGATTGAATTTTGATCTCCAACGAGACATCCATCGCGCTAGTGAGGTGCATCGTAATCTTCGTATGAGATATATTTAGGGACCAGATGCCGTTGGAATTCTTCATGATTTGTCTGTGGGGTGATACTTTGCTTTACGCTACTAGGATGGGTCTCCAATATAGATCTGGAGTTCTTCAATGATTGAGTATGCGAGTGATTATCTGATAGACGAGTCTCATGGGATGAGATATATTTCAAGAGAGTTTGCAGATGTTGTCTGAGATTCGTCAGGAGGACTCCACCGGCCACCGGGTTCACTCAGGTCATATTGGTTGGGCCCGGCTGTTCAATCCCAGCAGATATTGAGTATTTCCAGAAAGGGGTGCCATGATCGGACCTTGAGCTCTGTACTATGATATCTCATATGGACCAAGGGGTACGGTTTGTTACGGGAATGGGGATCTGTATCTTGTGGTATGATGCACGGGGCAGGGGTGCGCTTTGTTATGGGCATTTGGATCTGCATCTTACTATATCACAGACGAGGCAGGGGATACGAATTGATACAGGCATTGGGCTCCACATTTTATGATTTCATATGGGCCAGGGGATACGGTTTGTTGCGAACATTGGGATCTGTATCTTGCTATATCATGTATTGGGTTCTGCATCTTATGATATCATCCAGGAAATAGACGAGCCACGGAAAAGCTTTGTCGGCGTGGTGTATATATATATGTATATGAGATAGTTTCAATCCTGTCAATAAATCATACAGGCAACAAATCGTTTATTTCGCCATGCCTCGTACAGATATCTGCCATGCCTCACCAACAAATCGAATATATGAAGACAAAAAAACAGGCAGCAGCCGGATTCGAAGGAAATCCAAAAGAGGCAGATCTGCATTTTGAGAGATATAGACATCCGGATTGGCCCGTTTACATCAAGGCCGAATCGGTAGAAGGAGTTCCAGACGTGAGTGTTAAGAGGTGTGTTTCTTGTTGGGCTCAGGCCTGCGGAGTCGGGCCATTATTCCTATTGGATGCGCGAATGATTCCGAGTGATTGCAAGTGCAGCAGCTGAATGCATGTCGTGCTTGATGTGTTTGTGTGCCCGCGAAGGGCTTGCAGTGCAGTGCCAAACACACGTGTCAAAGAAACACATGTTGCAAACACCATGTCCTTAAAGGGTACTTATTCTATGCGTGGATGCTCATAATCGGGCGAATCCCCGCAAGAGGCAACCATCCTAGTTCATCTGTCAATGATCGAAGGCATCCCTGGAAAGCCGATAGGTGCCGCTCCTGAGCAGGTCTTCTTACCTCATCCCATGATAGGGACCAAGTCTAACTCCCACACTCTCAAGCTCACACAAAGATTGCAGTCCGCTTCTCGGCTTAGGGTTGTAGGGTGCAATGCCGCGCTCACGGTCCCCGGTCACCTATCGGGGGCGTACTTACGGTGTGGGCCCTGTGGGCCCATGGGGGGTTTGGGGTTAGGGGGCTTCGGGGGTGTAGGGGTTTAGAAAGGCACCTCCAATCTTAACTCCAAAACCTTTCAACCTTAACCCTATAGGGTTTAAAGTAGGGTTTAAATGTTTGGGGTTGAAAGATTAACCCTCGACCCTATAGCCTTTAAGGCTTCGGGATTAAAGCCTTAAACCCTATAGGGTTTCGGGGCTTCTCTTTCAAACTCTAAACCCATAAATTGTTTTGAGTAGGAAGGTTGGCAAGCTAGTGATACTCTATGCCTGAATCTGCGACGCGCGCGAAAAGACGATTGGGGGCGGGGGGGGGGGGGGGAGGGGGGAGGGGGGAGGGGGAGGGGAGGGGGATGGGAGGGGGGGGGAGGAGGGGGGGGGGGGGGGGGGGGGGGGGGGGGGGTGGGGGGGGGGGGGGGGGGGGAGGGTGGGGGGGGGGGCAACGTGGCTGTAGCCTACTCATCCCAGAAACCCTTCTCAAACCCCAAAAAACCCCAAACGCCCATGTGGGTGTGTGTGTGTGTGTAGCCCTGCTCATCTCTAAAAACATCTCATCCATAAACCCCCAAACCCCCCAAACCCGTCACATTCGCAGGCGCTGCTGTCGGCCGAGGCTCCTCACACACTTCCCAGCAAGGCATTTGGGAGGGGGGGTGGGTCTTGGATGTCAAGGCTGAGAGTCCCCACCCCTCGCCCCTCCCCCCCAAAGACCGACTCCCCAAGACACATATGCCTGTTTATAAACACAGGACGCGTTTACAACATCGTGTTTTCAAGTTATCATCAACATATTGGCCTACTAATCCGTTTGAGCTTTGACCGAATACTTCTATACTTGTACACATATTGGCTATATAGAAAGGCCTGCCAGGAGGACTACGAAACCTGAAAGAAGCAGAGGGCACCCAAGCTAAAGATACTGACATAGAAACGTGGTATGAAGAAAGCGCAGGCCCCATGACAGGCCCTTCTGTATGTTTAACAGGTGGCAGGGTGCATCTATAGTAATAAGGTTGGTTCGGGGGGGGCTTACCGTATAGACAAAATATATATGTATCTGTATATTATAATATATTATACTATGTGACCCCGATTTCGTCTCGGCTGGCGCGTCGTAGGTTTCGCTCGGGTTATGCCACAGACATGGCGACACACAACCCTGAAACCGTAAACCCCAGGAGCCACAAGCGTTTTTCACAGAGACGGGGGAAAAGGGAACCCCCCTGGTGGGCCTTCAAAACGCACAAGGGACACGCGGCTGGGGGTTCCAGCACCGACTATCAGTCACCTTAAACCCTAAACCCAGACTGCCTTGACTCACATCAGGAACCCCTCTACAGCCCAGAAGCCTGTAAGGGGTTTAGGGCTTAGGGCTTCTAGAACCGCAGGGTTTTCTGGCCCACCCAGCCTGGGGTTAAGGGTTTAGGAAACTTTTGTGGGTTTAAGATTAGTTAGCCCTGTAAGCCCTGATCCACCTTCTTGAGCCACTAAACTGACGAAACGAGAAGCCTTCGACCCTTGTGGACTTTATACCATCGCAGCCCAGCCCTCATCCGCAGGCGGACAGGTGGCACTGCATTCTGCAGATACACCCGGCACACTGTGTCACGCTATGCAGGGTCGCTTGCCCTCTTGAGATGCATTGCCCATCACCCGCAGGGCTTTTCAGCAGACCTAAACCAGCGTCGGAGAAAGGAACGCGATAGATATCCAGGATAGTGTGCCTCTTGTGGTGCCGCAGTATGCTCTCTTACGATCCAAAAGAATCAACCCTAAAAATTAGGGCTTAGGGTCAGGGTTTGGCTTTATAGGGTTCAAGGGAGAAAGGTGGAGGGTGTAGAGCCCTATACGAGCTCCAACCGATGTCGAGGTTCCAAAAGGCCGGACACAAAACCCCCTCTCCCACATGCCCAGGCCATCGACCCAGCCGTCCTTCCAGGGATCCAGGTAGCTGCGGTGCTTCTGACGAAGCAGATCTGGGACAAGTTTGGGCACAGCTACGCGACGCAATTTAGATGTCTAGTATATATATATATATATATGTTATAATGGCTTAAGGGATTTTCATAGGGGGAAACTGGTTGGTTAAATGGTTTAATGGTTCAATGGTTTCATGGTTGAATGGATTAATGGTTTAATGGTTTAGGTTTTTTCATATGGGGGAACTCATTGGTTTAATGGTTTAATGGTTTAAGGGATTTCATATGGGGCGAAATGATTGGTGTAATGGTTTAATGGTTTAATGGTTTAATGGTTTAATGGTTTAATGGTTTAATGGTTTAGTGGTTTAGTGGTTTAAGGGTTTAAGGGTATAA